AAAGAAAGAACGAACAAAAAAAGAAGGGAAAGAAAGAACGAACTAAAGAAAGAAAGAAAGAAAGAAAAAAAAAAAAGAAAGAAAGAAAGAACGTGAAAGAAAGAAAAGAAAGAAAGAAAGAAAGAACGAACAAAAAGATGGTAAAGAAAGAACGAACGAAAGAAAGAAAGAAAGAAAGAACGAACAAAAAAGATGGAAAGAAAGAACGAACGAAAGAAAGAAAGAAAGAAAGAAAGAAAGAACGAACTAAAGAAAGAAAAAAGAAAGAAAGAAAGAAAGAACAAACAAAAAAGAAGGAAAGAAAGAACGAACGAAAGAAAGAAAGAAAGAAAGAACGAACAAAAAAGACAGAAAGAAAGAACGAACAAAAGAATGAAAGAAAGAAAGAACGAACAAAAAAGAAGGAAAGAAAGAACGAACTAAAGAAAGAAAGAAAGAAAGAAAGAAAGAACGAATAAAAAGAAGGAAAGAAAGAACGAACGAAAGAAAGAAAGAAAGAACGAACAAAAAAGATGGAAAGAAAGAACGAACGAAAGAAAGAAAGAACGAACAAAAAAGAATGAAAGAAAGAACGAAGTAAAGAAAGAAAGAAAGAACGAACAAAAAAGACGGAAAGAAAGAACGAACAAAAGAATGAAAGAAAGAAAGAAAGAACGAACTAAAGAAAGAAAGAAAGAAAGAAAGAACGAACAAAAAAGAATGAAAGAAAGAACGAACTAAAGAAAGAAAGAAAGAAAGAAAGAACAAAAAAGAAGGAAAGAAAGAACGAACGAAAGAAAGAAAGAAAGAAAGAACGAACAAAAAAGATCGAAAGAAAGGACGAACGAACGAAAGAAAGAAAGAACGAACAAAAAAGATGGAAAGAAAGAACGAACGAAAGAAAGAAAGAAAGAACGAACAAAAAAGAAGGAAAGAAAGAAGAAGCAAAGAAAGAAAGAAAGAACGAACAAAATAGAAGGAAAGAAAGAACGAACGAACGAAAGAAAGAAAGAACAAACAAAAAAGAAGGAAAGAAAGAAGGAACTAAAGAAAGAAAGAAAGAACGAACAAAAAAGGAAAGAAAGACCGAACGAACGAAAGAAGGAAAGAACGAATGAAAAAGAAGGAAAGAAAGAAAGAAAGAACGAACAAAAAAGAAGGAAAGAAAGAACGAAAGAAAGAAAGAAAGAAAGAATGAATGAAAGAAAGAAAGAACGAAAAAAAAAGAAGGAAAGAAAGGACGAACGAACAAAAGAAAGAACGAACAAAAAAAGGAAAGAAAGAACGAACGAAAGAAAGAAAGAAAGAAAAAAAGAACGAACAAAAAAGAATGAAAGAAAGAACGAAGTAAAGAAAGAAAGAAAGAACGAACAAAAAAGACGGAAAGAAAGAACGAACAAAAGAATGAAAGAAAGAAAGAACGAACGAAAGAAAGAAAGAACGAACAAAAAAGAAGGAAAGAAAGAACGAACGAAAGAAAGAACGAATAAAAAAGAAGGAAAGAAAGAAATAAAGAAAGAAAGAACGAACAAAAAAGAAGGAAAGAAAGAACGAAGTAAAGAAAGAAAGAAAGAACAAACAAAAAAGAAAGAAAGAATGAACGAGCGAAAGAAAGAAATAATGACGAACAAACGAACAAAAGAAAGAATGAAAAAAAGTGATAGAAACAAAGAACGAACGAACGTTAGAAAGAAAGAAAGAAAAAGTATAATGAAGAGAGAGGGTGAACAAAGAAAAGGAAGAGAAGGTGAAAGTTTAAGATAAATAAGAAAAGAGATAGAAAGATGGAAATAATCCATAAAAAGAAATTCCAATAAATAAGAAGTAACAGGAATAATAGTGAGATAAGAGAATTAAAGGAGTCAGTATAGTGGAAGTATCGAAAAATAAAGAGAAAGAAGTGACAGAGCAGAGAATATAAAATGAGTGACAAGAGAACGAATAAAAATAATAAACTATGAAAACGAAAAATGTCATCGACAAAGCGGAAAGAGAAGGATAGGGAATAGATCAGGGCATCTGGAGATGTCGATTGGCATTACATTTGGAGAGTTGGAGATTATAGTTATCAGGGAAACAGGAAAAGGGGGAGTTCCACAGGCGAGAAGTGCGACACATGAAGCTATTGGAGTAGAAGAGACGGCTACATTTAACAGTTTCGACAGTGAAAGGGTGAGAGCGAGATGTCAGCCTAGTAGAACGCTTAAATTGATAAAGTCTGGGAACCAGTGAAAGCAGCTCATCGGAGCAGTTACTGTGAAAGTATTTGTAAAAAAAGACAGAGGGAGGTGACGGTACGTCTGTGAGAGAGCCACTGCAGACGAGATGCCAGATCAGGGCCAATTACATTGCATATCCGTCTCTGGAAATTTAATTTAACAACAAATCAACAATTGTTAGCTTACTTAAAGTCAAATATATGTCTTATAGTATAAAATGCTTGTGTTATATATATTACAGTATGAAATACATGACTATATATATATATATATATATATATATATATATATATATATATATCTTTATAATATCAAATACATCATATATATATATATATATATATATATATATATATATATATAATATCTTTATAATTTATAATATCAAATACATGTCATATATATGTCTTATAGAAATCTTAATGAATTAATGAAAAGGTAAACACGAGTCTAATCTGCACTAGCGTAAAAGAGGCAGTCATATTTACATATTTATAAGAAACGAGCAGCATGGCCCGGCGTTGCCCGTGCTTGATTCAAAAATCGTACGACTCATACAGCAATCGCTATCACTTGACTTAAAATATTTTTTGCCCTTCCTTGCCTTTAAAGGAGTGTCCTTTGCCGTGCTGATGTTGCTACATGCCTTACTTCTAGCCTATCTCACACTGCGAATTTTTTCTAAGCTCTACACTAAACATTAAATCTGTTACGAAAAAAGAACTAAACAAAATGAACACAAAACGATCCGCTTTAAAAAAGGACTCGTAACTGGAAGAACCGAATGAAAAAGGAATGTTAACAACAAATACTTTTTCACATTTAACCCAGTTCTGCGGAATCAGAATCAACGTTGAGTTTAAGCAAGCGAATTAGCCAATTGGAGTAAAGTGCCATGCAGATTTAAATTTTTCCCACTCATAACGAATGCAGCTATCGATTTTTTTTGCATGTTAGCATACTAGTTAACATTCGTGTCAGTCAGCTGTTGGCTCTCATTCTGACCAATAGAATCTTCCTGCTTATTCCTGGCAGCCAGCTATTAGCTCTCACTCTGGTCAGTAGAAAATGGCCGCAAACTACATGAAAACTGCCGTAGAAGTATGAAAAAATCGATTATTTCCACTATCGATGGGAGTTGGGAAATGCAAAGTCGGTCTTGGCCTTCCCGCTAACTTGTAGCATGTGCATGTAAATTTTGGTGCAAATCCGTCGAAAATTGCGGCCGTGCATTCGTTACACACACACACACACACACACACACACACACACACACACACACACACACACACACACACACACACATCCTGCCTTTTATAGATAGAGATGAAAAATGTCGACAGGCCCCGTTTTACACTAGAGTATAAATGGTAGACTGATCAATTTTAAACTAGAGTCAGAAAGGCAAACGTAAGTGTGTTATATTAGAGTCGAGGTGGTAGACATAGGTCTGGTTTACACTAGAGTGAAAAAACTAGGCGTTGGTCGGCTTTAAACTTGAGTGAAAAATCTAAACTTAGATCTGATTTACACTAGACTAAAAAACGTAGTCTTAGCCCGAATTTACACTAGAGTAAAAACGGTTAGACACAAGTCCGATTTAAACTAGAGCCCAAAAGGTAAACAAGATCTTGTTTTGCGCTCGAATCAAAAAAGTAGACATATGTCCACGTTAGTCTGGAGTAAAAACGGCCGACATGTCTCATGTTTTGACCAAGAGTCAAAAGGTAGACGTAAGTAGAGTTTATACTAGAGTAAATAATTTAGAATTAAATCCGATTTGAACTAAAGTAAAAAAGGTAGACATATTTCCCGGTTTTGGTGTCCAGATGTTAGACATAGGTTTGATTTTGCACTTGGTACATATATGTTGACAGTAGATAAGGTCAAAAATGTATACCAGGTTTATACGAGAGTAAAATCGGTAGATATTAGTCGGATTTATAATTGAGTTTGCCCGTATCCTCTTGGAAGGTGGACCCCTTTTGGGGATCTTCCTCTTCTTCAGGCTATGAGGTCGGTGTATTTTCATTTTTCTTCCGGAAGAAGAAGAAGAAAAGAGGAAAGAAGAAGAAGAAGAAAAGAAGAAGAAGAAGAAGAAGAAGAAGAAAAGAAGAAGAAGAAGAAGAAGAGTGTTGACAGCGTGGTAAAGTCGATAGAAAAAAAGAGCGAAGAGGAAAACATGAAAATAAAAGATAAAAATTTCGGACGTTGATTTTCAAAGCAGACAGCTCTCTCTCTCTCTCTCTCTCTCTCTCTCTCTCTATCTATCTATCTATCTCCTTGGAAGGTTAGCATGTCACAATTTCCCGACATGTTGTTGGCCTTGTGCCAGATTAATATAAGCTTATTCTAATATCATGAGTGTTGCATATTTCCAGTTGGAAACTAACTGTAAACATTAACACCATGCACACACATACACGCGCACACACACACACACACACACACACACACACACACACACACACACACACACACACACACACACGCACACACACACATATATATATATATATATATATTAAGTCATACACGCGGATAAGGTTTTTGATGTCATTACTGAAAGACGAGAGAAAATCGCCGTGTTTATACATATTTGTTTTATTAACAAGTACTTTCGATGTATCCATGTCAGGGTATTGTTTGCAATAAAATAAGTATTATAGTATCCATTATAGTCAGAGACAAATTAGTGTGTCATCCGAAAGGTAAATTTCTTACAAATGGAGTGATAACATCAAAAAACTTATTCGTGAGTATGAAAGGATCTTACCAAAAAATAAGTAGACAGAATATGTCTAAACTATACAACGAAACATACCTTCATGAAAACATGCTCTTTGAATATATATATATATATATATATATATATATATTTTAAGCATTGTGCTAAAGCAAGGCGTGAAGCCACTAGGATGCAGGGGTTGCGGAAGATTTGGAGCGAGAGCATAAGATAAGAGTGATAGGAGAAAAGAAGAGGGAGAAGGATAGTGGGTAGATCAAGGTAATTGAGATGTCGATTGACATTACATTTAAATAGTTGGAGATTATAGCTTTCAGGAAACAGTGATTGGGAGGGTGTTCCACTGGCGAGAGGTGCGAGGTATGAAGCTATTGGAGTAGAGACGGCTACATTTGAAGGTTTCTACGGTGTAAGGGTGAGAGCGTGATGCCAGCCTCGTAGGGCGCTTGAATTCATGGAGTCTGGGAACCAGAGAGAGCAGCTCATCAGAGCAGTTACCATGGAAACATTTGTAGAAAAAGACAGAGAGGCGACGGCGCGTCTGTGAGAGAGTGACTGCAAACAAGACGCCAGATCAGGGCCAATTAGATTACATATCCTTCTCTGGATCTTGTCAAGAACTCCGAGGTAAGCAAAAGGTGCTCCAGCCCATATATGGCAGCAATACTCCATGCAAGGGCGAATGGTTGTTTTGTATATTTGAAGTATCGATTCAGGGGATATATATATATATATATATAGTGAGTGTTTCCTGGTGTCGTATAAATCGTTTAATATCAGGTATAACACGTAGAAAAGGATACTGACTGGGGTGCTGGATATTTTTGGAGACTTGGTCTTATTTTTCAGTGATAGCCGCCAAACATACTATTATTATTATTATTATTATTATTATTATTATTATTATTATTATTATTTCTTTGGATTTCTGTTCTATACACATTTCCTTCCGGGTCCCAATCAGAAACCTAAAGTTAGAAATTGGTTCATGATATTTTCCACTGATGATTTTTGCAAAACCTAAGATCAAACGCATTTTACATAGATAACGCTCTTCGTAATATGTGGGCTATACAAGTGACTACAATTTTTGCATTTCTTTAAGTCATTGGCTACCAGGAATCCCTTCAATGTGTCTATCGGAACCTTTTCTAATCAATTCAAAGGGCTTCAACTAAACTGGAATTATTGATGTCCTCATGTGCCATATTTTCGAGATTTCTACTTCAAGATCCTTTGTTTTTTGAAGATCTTCTTCTTATTTTTCTTCTTATTCTTTTTTTCTTCTTCTTCTTTCTTCTTCGTCTTCTTTTTCTTCTTCTTTTTTTTCTTCTTCTTCTCCTTCTTTTTCTTCTTCTCCTTCTTCTTCTTTCTTCTTCTTCATCTTCATCTTCTTCTTCTTCTTTCTTCTTCTTCATCTTCTTCTTTTTTCTTCATCTTCTTCTTCTTTTTCTTCTTCTTTTTCTTCTTCTTCTTCCTCTTTTTTTCTTCTTCTTTTACTTCTTCTTTTTCTTCTTCTTCTTTTTTCTTCTTCTTCTTCTCCTTCTTCTTTCTTCTTCTTCTTCTTCTTCTTTTTCTTCTTCTTTTTCTTCTTCTTCTTCTTCCACTTTTTTTTCTTCTTCTTTTACTTCTCCTTCTTTTTCTTTTTCTTCTTCTTCTTCTTTTTTTTCCTTTGTTTTCTGTTGTATACTCATTTCTTTCCGGGTCCCGGGTAGAGAACTTTGGTCAGAAATAACATCATGACATTTTCCATTGAGTAGTTTTGAAAAAAAAAATGCACATATTTTACATAGATAAAACCCTTCATAAAGTGTGGGCTGTACTTGTGAGAACA